AGCCTTCTCCACGTGCAGCGCCCACCTGCTCTCTGTCTCTTTGTTCTATGGCACTCTCTTCTTCATGTATGTGCGTCCTGGGTCTGGGCCAGATCAATATCAGGATAAAATGTATTCATTGTTCTACACGGTTATAATCCCCCTGCTAAACCCCTTTATTTATAGCCTAAGAAACAAGGAAGTTTTAGGTGCACTGAGAAAAGTGATAAAGAAATAAATATTTTTGGGGGAAAGCTTTCATTATTCCTTATGTTTTCCTCTGTTTAAATAAAGCATAATGTGGGGTTTGCACATAGTGGGGACTTAATCTATAATCGTTAAATGAATGAATAAAAAATTTAGAGTAGATAGACTTGTCTTCATCATAAGTTGTTGTGATCATCAAAATAATTAATGAACATGGTAAAGACAGGCTCCATTTACTTTGTGTTATTGTTGTTTTTAATCCATCTTCAAAGACAAAAGTGAAACAGAAATCTCCAAATTACTATATCTTTGTAACGTGAAGAGCTTTGTGTTTCCAGATACTCACACTTCAAAACTCCTTTGAGTTTATAGTTTTTACAGGAAGACTCATCCTGTATAAGCCCTATTTTTAAAAAGGACTCATGCCTTTTTAAATAATTCTTGAATGGGTACTTTTTCAAAACCTTGTCTTTAGTAGTTATTTATAATTACCCAAACAATACGAAAACCAAAGTAATATTGACAATATATATAATGACAATTATATATAACCTATTGAGGCATTTAAAATGAACATCTCTACAAGGTTTAAAAGTAATTTTTCAAATTATATTTGTATTGCAACCATTGAAAAGTTAAAAAATTTAACAATCGTATATTTAAGAGAAAGCAATTTTCCTGCAATGTAATGAAAAGTTCTAAATTCTTTAAAATGTCTACCTTTTAATTTATCAAGCACTCTCAAGAAGCATCTTGCATCTGACACACATATGCCAATTGAATTTTTTTCTCCTGTAATTGACAACTACCTGGAATAGCAGATGTGCTTGATGAAGTCATAATTATGCAACTTAAGTGACTTTTTCTTTATAAAAACTATGTATGTGTTCTGTCTGACCGTGTTACCATTTTTGAGTTCCTGAGTTAATTACATACGGCTCTGTGAATATTTTAGTCAAAAATAAAGGAAAAGGTAGGTAGTTTGACCTACATTACGTTATTGATAGAGCCGATTTTCATAACCCTTAGATGTCTCTTACAGGGCATACAAGGGCAAAAGAGCATATAAACCATGAATAGTGACCCTAGTGCATTCTGGGGGGTAAAGAAAAAGAGAAAAGTATTGCTATATACATGGCACATTTCTCAGATCCTAGCCTATTATTTTGATTTGAGGATATAAACAATTTGTTGAGTCATCGAACAACAAAGCAGGTGGTGTGGCCAAGTGGCTCCAGCACAGTGTGTTTGGGGCTCAGTTTTCCCAGACTCTGCTCCTCTCATTGCATCTGAGCTCTGCCTTCTGCTGTGTGGGCTCATTCGAAGCAGGTTGCTCCCTGTGGCTGCAGAATCTCTGTAGGAGTTCTTGCCTCCACTTCTCCACACTCAAGACCAGCGGCAAAACTCTCTCTTTTTTTCTATGTGCCACACAGACTATTTTAAGTATTGGCTGTGTACAATTGCTATCTGGCAATATATAGATGTTCTCTGTCTCCTTTATACCTCTATTATTTCAGGCAGCGTGGCGCCTGACTCCACGCTTTTAACCACTACCCTATGCTGCTTCTATATGACTACAACGTCTTACATGAGACCTAACACTGGTGGCCGAAGAGGCACACAGAAGGAGATGGTACTAGCCAAATCACTGACTGCTTCTTCCGCTCCACAGTGTGCCCTGTGGATAAGAGAAAGGAAGTAAGCCTTCTGATGTGCTTCCTGGATTCTTCTTTTAATGTAAAGCTCAGGTCACCATGCTAGGTTTTCCCCAGGAGATTGTGAGTTCTTTTGTAGAAACTTTTATGTTTTATGGTTTTATATTTTATGTGAAAGATGGTTTGGAATCCAACTAATACTACATAATCCATAAGAACGACTGCATCTCAGGTGCTTCATAGTTCAGCTTATAGCATATTGTAAAACTGAGTAGTTCTTTGTTACATCACACTCTGTTGATAACAACTAACAGAATTGAAGACTTAATGTCACCAATAAAGTCTTGCCCATCTGCATCCTCACCCAGATGGTATAGGTCAGTGGTCCTCACTTGGTTATCACCTCAAACCAAACAAACTAGAATTTTTAAGATGGGGTTCCAGGCTTCTCATAGTTTTATAAACCTGTCCAAGTGATTCCAATATGCAGTCAGTGTTGACAGTCACTAGAGATAATTATCACGTGAAACTTGGCAAGCTTCCGATGAAGATTAGATGATAATTGAGTATAGAAACTTCTCTGTATGACTATTACAATGACTGTTTGCCAAAGTGGCCACTTTATTAGAGTTTATCCAATTTTTTATCAAGTTTTTATCTTTATTTCTCCCCATTTCTTATGGCACCAAGGGAATAATGATAGATGTCACGTATATTGCATACTATGCTTTTTTATTTAAGGGAGTGGTTCTCAGTCCTTGTTGGAGTCACCTAAGGTCCTTAAAAATTAAGATTCGCTGACCCAGTCTCAAGCCAGTGAAGTCAGCTTCTCTGGAGATGTGACCCAGTTATTAGTATATCTTTATCACTCCAGGGGATGCCAATGTACAGCCCAGGTTGAAAACTACTGGTTTAAGGGAAAAGTAAAATCTTCATATGGTCTTGATTCTTTAGTTGGATTTGGAAGTCTGACACAATTATCCATATTCTAGTGAATATGGACCTGCAGTTTACTGTCTGAAAACAAGTTCATAAATAAACAAGTAGTAGATAACACTAATTTCTTTCAAATTCCTACCAGATAATGAGTTTGGAGAGACAGACTATGCATATCCAGACAGTTCACCAAAAGTTAGCTGCAATTCTTTCCTAACAAATATTTCTCTTGCATTAATAGAGACCCATATTTCAGTAGATATTTTACATATGTTGGACAGTTCTCCATTCTTGTCCATATGGTAATATGGTATGATCAATCCACTGAATGTCAGCTAGGCTCTTACAAAGTGTCTACAAGGTAAATACTTTATAGAATTGGAGTCTATAGCCTCTATATAACATCTAAAACTGGTTTAGTTAAGCAGAAGAGGGGCTAATGTCATGGAGATTTTTCACTTGAGGTTTTCATTCTTAAGCTTTTGTGTGCATGAACCCACAGGTATTGTATTAAGCAGATCATTGGCTGGTTTCAGGTTCTGTACTATTCACAGGTATCCCAGGCAGTTCTGAGGCAGGTGGGCCTGGACTACATTCTGAAACACAAAGCTCTAACACTCATCATGATCATGTTAGATTGTGATTTTGATTTCTTCTTAATAGGAAAGTCTACCTGCTATTGTCTGGATGTTTGTGTCCTCCCCAAATTCATATTTTAAAATCTCATTCCCCAAAGATGATGGTGTTAAAAGCTAAGGCCTTTGGAAGTTGCTTAAGTCAGGCTTTGGAGCCTTCATGAATGGGATTAGTGTCTTATAAGACAAGGTTTCAGAGAGATCCCCAACCTTTTCCTCCATGTGAGGACATATTGAAAAGACCCTGGCTATGAATCAGGACGAGGACTTTCATCAGAATGCAACAATACTGGCACCTTGATTTTGGACTTCCAGACTCCAGAACTGTGAGAAATAAATTTCTGTGTTTATAAGCTACCCGGTCTGTGGTATGTTTTTATGGCAGCCCGAATGGACTAAGGTACTACCTCATATTTAAATCTTACTTCAAGACTTTTAGAGTATATTCATCTGAATGATCCTAATTGATCCTTTCAGTCACTCTGGAAAAATAGAAGGGAGGTGGTATTTCTTCCATTTCCATGTGAGGCAGCCTGGAGTAATGGAAAAGCACAGTGTGTCAAATCAGATCTGGTATTTTATTCCTGAGTCTTAGATGAAGCTAAAAGTGACCACAATAGCCTCCATGAAATCTTGTAGGTCATAGACAGAAGAAAACAATGAGTGTTTGAGGATATTTAAATGGGCAGTGCCTTAATTTCTTCATTTGTATAATAGAGATTATAATATGCATTTATGTCCCTATTCAGCAGATTGGGTGAGACAATATATGTGATGGTTCATTACACAGCATAAATCACTATACAAATACAGGTTTTGTCTTTATGAAGAAGTTAAGATCCAACTTTTCTAAAGTGATATAATCAATAAAGGGCTATGCTAAGACAAGAACCACTGTCACAAACTGTCACAGGTTGCTGGTGTGGCCACTCCAGAATTCTTTTCATTATATGAGAAGGTAATGTAAGAAATGGCAGGTGCTCCAATATGGTTGAGATAGTTTATATGAATATGTCTTTGTTGAAAGTTTTAGGAGACCCTAGGAGACCTACAAAGTGTGAGAAACAGGGACCATTGGACAAGCCAGAATTTGGAGTAATTTACATTTATGTTAAGGCATCTTTTTCCTTTCAAGGAAAACCTCTGACCAGGGTTTACCATAACAGACACTTAAATATATTTTTGGAATGAATGACTAAGCTATTCAAAGTAAGCCTTTTAAAATCACCAACAATTTGCCTTCAAGAAGGAAGGTAGAGCCGTGAACTTCTGGCAAGGTCAAATAAGTCTAAACAACGTTTAGATATTTGCATAAATTTTTCTTTAAGATTTTATTTTTAAGTAGTCTTTACACCCAATGTGGGGCTCAATCTCACAACCCCAAGATTAAGAGTCACATGCTCCACCGACTGAGCCAGCCAGGGGCCCCTAAATTTTTTTATAATAAATTTCAGAACATTTCATCTTAATTTCCTCTTTTTTTTGTAGTTGTGTCAAAGTATTCCAGCCAAAAATGTAGAACAAATGACAGAACTAAAAATTATTATTTAAAAATCCCTAATAATATAATTGGTTCTGGCAAGAATCATCAAAGGATGCTAAGACCTTAGCTAAAAAATGAATGGGGACTTGGATAGTTTTACAAGGTGCAAAAGTATCTTATCTTTAGTTATTTGCCAGATGTAAGGGAAAATACATAACTTTACAGTAAGGAGATCTGCCTGTTAACCCCTTAACCCAGGGATTACCCCGAACTCCACCAACAGTGACACAAACAGGCTTACTGTACTTCCTGATGTTACGCA